GCCTCAAACCATGATCGAACCTACCCACCATAGTTTTGTTTAAAAGAAAACCAAACCAAACCAAACCAATTATCTATGTCAAACTAACCCGAGTGGAATTGGTTTGATAGGTTTAATCAGTTTTTCGATTATTTTGCCCAGGCTAATGATCACCAGTGGGATAGCAATGGGCGAAGATTCAAATTCAACTAGAAAGAGCTATGCACACTCTATTGGGGTCTGCTCTATTTACAAAAAGACAAGATTCAATCAGAACATCACTTTTTTTAGGAATACTTGATTAGTATAGCAAACCCCCATGATGATGCCTTGGTGGTTATCGCTGACCTAGCGGAGTTCTGGTCGGCAGTGGTAGTACAGCAAATGTTCTTACTTAAGAAGCGTTTCTGGGTTTAAGAATCTCTCTAGAAAAATTGAAAATCGTGACCACCCCTTTACAAGGTTTTGGAGGGGCAATTATGATACCAGAAGGAGTTGTGGAGCTTTAGGGGACACTAAGCACTTACCTAATGAGTGTAGTGATCCTGACGAATTTTTTAGTTGTCAAAATTCTCGTGGCATACAATGCAATCTATGGTCGAACACTATTAAATGCTATCGGAGCTATCTCTTCAACTTACTACAAAGTAATGAAATTCCCAACCAACCGAGGGATTGGGTGTAAGGGGCGATAAACAAGTTTCGAGAAAATGCTTGTTGATAGCATAAAATCTAAGGACTCGCCACCAGTTATGAAGTTAGGTTTTGAGCCTCCAAGGAGCTAGACGATGAGGATTCTAATTGTAAGTTAAAAAAATTGGTTAATTAAGATGTCTTTCTATGTTCCTTACAAATGTGATTGCCAAGAAGTTTATTGATTTCCCTAATGTAATGTTGGCTACTAGTTCTAACATCTTGTAATTATTAGCATTGTTCAATGAAAAGTTTACATGGCACCGAATAGTGAGGCTGCTAAGGAGGGGCCAAACTTACTGGGACGTCCCGGTGCGTCTACTGAATCCCTAAATCTATGTAAGCTTTATCTAAATGCATGGACTTGATTTACAATTGTTGAGATTTTTCGTACAAATTGTGGCTTAAAATTTTGTCCAACACATCAAAATCATTTAAGGGCTAAGCGGTATGCAACAAAACCAAATTTTGGTTATAAGCTCAAAATCATTCTACAATCTTAGTGGTGAGCTTTCAAAACCAAAATATTGCTTAGGGCTCAAAATCATTAGACAGGCGCTCGATACATGAAAATTGTTTGAGGAGCTAAGTGTGAGTAATAAAATAAAAAATTAGTTATGAGCTCAAAATTGCTCTATAAGCTTAGCAGCGAACTTTCAAAATAAAATGAAAAAAATGGTAGAGCCTCAAGATCATTAGACATTGCTCAATATATCAAAATCGTTCAAGGGGGTAAGCAGTGAAAAACAATACCAAAAAATTGATGAGTTCGAAATTGATATATGATCTAGTAGTGGGCAACAATAAAATAAAATTAGTCAGCTCGAAATCGTTTTACAATTGGACGTTGAGCAACAATAGCAAAAAATTGGTAGCTCAAAATCACTTTATGGTCTAACGATGAGCAACAATGACAAAAAATTAGTCAACTCAAAATTGCTCTATGGTTTAGTGGTGAACAACAATATCAAAAAAATGGTTTGCTTGAAATCACCCTACGGTCTAGCGATGAGCAATAATCCCTAAAATTCGTTAGCTTGAAATTGCTTGATAGTCTAACGGTAAGCAACAATAACAAAAATTGGTTAACTCAAAATCGATCTATGGTTTAGCTGTGAGCAACAATACCTAAAAATAAAAAAATTATTAGCTCGAAATCGCTCTACAGTCTAATGGTGAGCATTCAAAACCAAAAAATGGTTAAATCCCAAGATTATTAGACTTCACACTCTAATCGTTGGATCCCGTCCAATTTCAAATTTGTACTTCTCCGCCATTTGACATAGTCGATTTATTTATGCCAAAAAAATTGCAACGTAAAATAGTGAAAATGTTACATCTTAATGATAAATATCGACGAGAAGTAGATGGCCTAATGTGCTATATGATATAAATAATGGTCTATGATGGAATGATGCTATATGATATAAATAATGGACTATGATGGCCAACTAAGTGAAGGAAACTTCTATTACTTCGAGCAACTTCTACTATGCTAGATGATCTCCGTTATGTTAGGCGACTTTTGCTATACTTGCTCGTCTACCGTTAGGCTATCCTAACTGTCACTATGGTAGAGCGACTACCGCTATGCTATCCCAACTGTGACTATGGTAAAGCGACTACTGATATGGTAGGGCGACTGTCACTATGGTAGGGCGACTACCACTATGCTATCCACTATGGTAGAGCGACTATCGCTACAATATTGACTGCCATTATAGTAGAGTGAATACTGCCATGCTACCATGACTACTAATTTAATAGATCGATTACCGCTATGCTAACCTGGTTGTCACTATGGTATACAGACTACCACTATGCTAACCCAATTTTCACTATGGTAGACCGACCACCTCTATGTTGACCTGAATTTCGTTATGCTAGACGACTCTATGATAGATTGATCATCATGATTCTCAATCGTCTGAACATCTTTTTTAATTAATTGATAAATGCTTGACGGTTATCATTTATCCCGATTCCCATTAACCATCTAGTGGGTGAAAACCATCTACTCAAGCCGAGAGTGAAAACTGTTTGGTGGATGGACATGCTACGCTAGACACGTGGACAATAATCATTTGACATTTACACAATATCAAACACGTGTAAATATCATAAAGGTGGGACAGGTATGGGGGTCTGGTTTTTCTCAACATATTTTTTCGTCATTTCATTAAGTCATTTGTTCAAAATCCATTACTAATTCTCACGCTGAAAGTACAATGGGAGAGAAAGCCTTGGCCTCTTTTTACTAGTATTCAATTGCCCATCAAAACAACAATAGCCTCATTGCTCCACTAAGGAAGTCTTTTCAATATATTTACTAAAAATCTTGTTTCAAATATTTTTATAATTTTTTTACTTTTTAGTTATATATATATATTTTTAAATATTTATGTTTTAAACAATCACTTTTCACAAATGCACTCGATTTCAAAACTGAACCTGTAACTTTCATTTAAATAAGTGAAAATTACACCCAGCTATATTTTTTTAGTTTCAACTTCAAAATTTAGAATTAAAGTATTTTTATACAAAAATCAGATATTATACAATTTTTAAATATTAATATTAATATTATAAAATAAAATAAATCTACAAACTTACCACCAAAACAATCACTCCACTCAAATTAAATTAAGACCTTGTTTCAACCCCATTTTGAGGGGAAAAATGAATTTTTGAATAGTGTATCGATGGGAAATGTGTGGTTAAAAAATAAGAAAAAGTTTTGAATTTGTTTGTAATATTATTTTATTGAAAAATGTATGGTTGAAATGATATCAAATTACTGTAAAAAAATTCATTTTTCCAAAGAATGAGGATCAAACAGGCACTAAGTTACATACCTTTTATACCCCACACCCACCCGACCTCATTCATCCCAAACCCTGAATTATTTTACTTTCTTTGGTCTATCATTTCCTCTCTCTCTCTCTCTCTCTCTCTCTCTCTCACTTCTCTATTTTGTATCCTACCTCTTCTCTAGCAACACATCAACTCCATCAACATTGAACCTTTGTTGACACAACACGTTGCCGAGCAAATAACACTATACTCACCGCGTCATGCCTCTATGAGCAACATTAATGCGTGGCATCGAAGGCGTAGATACCATATCTCGCAACAACAGTGTCGCGCTACACCTCTGCCCACGAAGAGCGTTTATGCGAGCGAAGTTGAGTCACGATGCAATGGTTTTAGGTTTGGGTTTGAGTTCTCTGGCATTGCATTTGCCTGGCTTCTATGGTAAGATCACAATGGTGGTTTCACGTATCTCACGGTGACGTTGCATTTGCCTGGCTTTTGAACTTTTCTATGGCGATTTGCGATGGTTTATTTTTTATTTTTTTTGTGGTGATTTTGCGATGTGTGCTTTGTGTTGGTTTTTGGGATGGTGGTGTGCAGGAGGTATTAGTACTCGATGGCGATGGTGATGGTGATGGTGATGGCGATGACGTGTTTGTTGATTTTTTGGTGGGAATGGTTTGGTATAGATGGAGACAGAGGAAATAGTGCTAGTCGTGGTGACGAGGGTGATGGCGATGGTTGTGGATAGGTGGTGGGGGTGTTTGTGATCAATTATTTGAGTATTGTGATCAATAAATTATTAATTTTTAACCAATTATTAATATGTGTCTTAGAAGAACGTGAGATTATGACTAAATTCGTAATTGTGGTTCAGAATTTGGTAAATTGTGGCCAATTAATTCGATAATATGTAATCTATAAAATTTGTGAATTGTGATCGTAAAATAAGTTGTAACCTATAAAATTTATGATTTGTGACTAATAAATAAATTTTAACGTATAAATTTTTTTATTTGTAGTCGAAAAATAATTTATATCAATTAATTTTGATAATTTGTGATCAAATTATATAAAATTATGACATTAATATAATTAATTAGTAAAATATATTTTTAATTATTTATTTCATAAATGAAATTTAATAATATCAGATTTTTAAAGTTTTAAATATTTTTTCTTAATTTTGAAATGCGTCATAGTTAATCTCTTATATTTGAAATTTAAGTGTGTGTTTAAGCCACATTCTTTGTAAAAAATGTATTTTGGAATAGTAAATTAACGGAAAATGTATGATTAAATAATAGAAAAAAACTTTTGATTTTACATGTAATATTATTTTATTGAAGAATATGTAATTAAAATGATGTCAAATCACGATTTAAAATAATAATAATAATAATAAATAAATATATATGCAAACAATGCAGGTTAAATAGGGCCTAAACAAAAAAGCGAATAGTTTCAGGGCCCTAATTTGATTAGGCCCAACCCATTGGCAATTTATCGGATCCACGTCTCCTCTCTCCCCCAGCACTTAATTCCCGAACAAATTCTGTACTGTTTTCCTGTCTTTCGATTGCTTACAACTAAAAAAACCCTAAATCCCAATTCCTACGGCGAATTTCAGCTTTGAATTGAAGTGGCAATACGCGTATAAATTAATTAAGCAGCTTCAAAATGCCTGAAAAAAACGAAGTGATAGGCCTGTCATGGGAACCTAAACTACCCGTGTTTTCATCTGCATCCACTTCTACAACTGGTTCTACCAAAACCGGTAATTCCTCATCCAGTGCCCTCTACAAACCCAGTTCGGAGCTCATTGACGGCCTCTTCGTTCCTCCGAACGACCCCAGAAAGCTCAAAAAATTGTTAAAGAAACAAATTAAAGACACTGCTGGGAAGGGCTGGTACATACTTCTTTTCCCTTTTTTGGCCTCTGTTTGAGTTGGTTTTCGTGATAAAATTCACCCATTTATTCTTTTCTTGAAAAGGTTTTGATTTTTTATGTGGGTTGGTTTTAAATTGATAACAGGTTTGATATGCCCGCCCCAGTGATGACGCCAGAGCTCAAGAAAGATCTTCAACTGTTGAAGGTACGTTTATTTATTTCCTTGGTGAATTGATTAAATTGATTCTTGACAATGCTATTTGGAACTTGTACAAGGAACGTTCTGCAATATAAAGCTCTAAACAGACTTCTTTGATTGATTTATAAGTGGCAATTTTCTATGTGGAATTAATTTAACAACAGGTAAATTTAGGTTTCATCTAATATCACTTGAACAGAATCTTGGCACAAACCATTAAGATTAGTACTTTTTAGTGCATAAGCAGTATTACATTACGAGTAATTGTAGTTACCAGAGCAAGCAATGTCCAAGAGCTGTGTTAGTGTAATACTAGTACCACAAAAATTTATATCCTCCACCATTTTCAGTAGAAAATTAACCGAAATTTGTCATTCATAATGCAAGTTTCTCATAGAATATACGAAAATGAAGATAAACTAAGTAAAATTGTTGATTGATTTGTTTGAAGATTTCTTTTGTTAGCGTTCGTCCACAGAAGATTTCGAGTTTTTAAATTTTTGGCCGTCGAAGATTTATGATATTTCAAAGTTGAAATTTGATTTCCAGACAATATTTGGATTATCACAAATTGTTGAGAATTTTTCTCTTCCTTCCGTTCCCTCTCTTCTTTTGTTCCACTTAGGATCCACCGTATCTGATAAAATCTATTGGTGATTTTACTTTTGTTTTTGGTAATTACTGATGATTAAGCACAAACATAAGCATTGGACCTTTACCAAGTTGCCAACGTAATCAAGTGGACTTAAACGAGGAGAATGAAGATATCAACAGTTAGAACCTCGGAGGAGATAAATTTCCATTGTACAGACATTTGCACATTTAGCTTCCTGTTTCAAAATCCAAAGATTTGAAACATTTCTACACTTAGGTTTGATAATTAATCTGGCACTAGGAATCTATCGAGGCTTGGATTTTTCGCTTCCTACCGGTTGTGATTTATTTAATTTTGTAGAACGAAAATTAAAAATGTGAATTGAAATATGTAATCAATTACCAGAATTGATAGAAACTTCGAAAACTTTGGGAGGGAGAACATGAAATGTATCCAACTGTTAGAGCTGCTTGGATTAAACCAAACAATCATACATTAAAAGTTGGAGATCGAGAAATAGAACTAGTAGATTTCATACCAAAAAGTATCAATAAGATCACCTTTAGACCGAGTTTTCCAACTTCCTCCAGGATATATGGAACTTTTCCTTCCATACTGTCCAAATGCCTACATAAAACATGAATACAATGCTATTTTAATGAGGAAAATTGAAACAATTGGCTCAACCTTTCAAACGAGAAGACTAAAACTTGTAAGCAACTTATACATTATTGAGATGAATTAAATTAACTTCGAAGGGCCTGAAGGGCTGAAAAAAAAATACTCTTTAAGAGTTTTGGAGGGTTTTCTGAATATCTTTTGTATATTAAAATATGCTATTTCTTTGTTAGGGAATGTCTAGCCCACTTCGAAGAGCTGCACAGTCGTGATATTTATAAAGCTCCTCATGTTATGGCGTCTAGGTTTCTTAATGCTTTGAATGTTGCCATCTTGCTTGACGACATTTCGGTGCCCCAATCTTTAGATGATGCTTATCAGCAGGCCAATCTTTGGTACATATCCTTATGTATTCACCAAACTTGTTATGCTCTTGTATCTACCACCCAATCTCGATAGTCTCCTTCGAAGTCTAGTTGTGTTACTCTTAAGGAAGATAATGAGGTTTTTATTGTTGAGTCTATTGAATGTTTAGANCGATAGTCTCCTTCGAAGTCTAGTTGTGTTACTCTTAAGGAAGATAATGAGGTTTTTATTGTTGAGTCTATTGAATGTTTAGAGATAGTAAGGATGAGAGCTTTGACATAATTGACCATGAAACAATTGAGGATTTACTTATAGCCCTTGTTTGAACTCTATTTTGTCAAAACTCATTTTGCAAAACTCATTTTTAATCACATTCTCTTATAAAATAATTGTATACATAAGCCTAAAAAGTTTCTCTACTTACTTACTACACATTTTACTAAAATCACTATTACAAAATTCATTTTCTCCAAATAATGGGGCTCAAACAGGAGCATAGTGTCGCCACCTAAATAGGTAAAGAAAAGTTTTTGAATCATGCACTTGAAATTAATCTATTTGATTGGCTATCACATTTAAACGAAAGTTATGCTTTCAATATAGTAGAGTTATCTCCTTATCAAGGCATATTCGAGCCACCGTTGTTACATTGATTTGTTTCTGCAGGGCAATCTACCATACTAGTGTGCTGTGGTCCGAATTTGAATTTTGTGAATAGTTCTTGTGGATAAGTTGTACAGGTGGTTGTTTAATGGGGTCCCTTATCGCTACTTGGTTAAAAGGGAAGATCATCCCTCTAATTCAGATAAGATTTTTAGGACTAATATTCAAATTCGATTGTTGTCACATGGTTGGTTCCATTATTTAATCAAGAAGAAAGATTGCTCTCCGTGGTTAAGAAATTGCAATTTATATCACCAGAGTCAAGTTCTCTCGACCGAAGAGAAATGATGAAATATTACAAGATATATTATTTAATTTAGTTTCCAATTTTGAATCTTATACTAGGAAACAAAATTAGGGTTTCATTTTATAGTACTTTCCTACTTCAATTAGAACTAGTTTAAACCTTATATAAAGAGGTTTTATGCGATGTAATTAAAACAGCTATGATATGAATAAAATTGATACTTTCTCCCTAAATTCTCGCTTCTTCTCTCCCTTCTATGCATTTAGTTCTCCTTCCCTCCTCTTCGTCTCCCTCTTTTCCCCTTCTCCTATAATTGTTCCATAGCATGCTATGTCAGTATTACTACTACAATTTCTGGAGTTTTTATACTCTGTAATGTTAATCAAGACACTGTTGATGTTGTGATTGCGTGTTTTGGTCCTAATTGGCCCCTTCTTTGCCTGGAAACGGGCTTATGTTGGATTGTGTTGGTGAAATTGTATTACTTGCTTTGTTTATGGGAATTAAGGATCTCTCATTTGTTGCAAAGTGAATGCATGTTTTGCCTATTAGCCTGTGAATGTGCAATAGGTAAAGTACGCTGGCATGCCAACTAATTGGTATTTTGATATTTGATATTTCTACCCTGTTCATTATAGAATATAAAGTGCTGTCCTGAAGATTAGATGTAATAATATAATATTTGTATGAATTACGAAGCAAAGCAACTCACAGCCCCCTAGATCATGTGATTCTGTTATTGTTGTATTTGTATTTTCAACTTATGGGTGAGATTTAAATGCCTCATTTGGTATGTTTTCATCGCTCGAAGGTTCTCATTTTGTTCCTGTTCTGCCAATAGAAATCCTAAAGACATGTTGCATCTTTTTATTGGTATTGAAATCCAGTAGGAAGACTATTTCTTGATGAAAATTGGATCTTTTTACCATTACAGTTGAGGAGTGCCATAGATCCAAAAAGGCATTATAAGAAGGGTGACTCAAAATCAAAAACACTTCCCAAGTATTTCCAGGTAATTTTCCATCTGAATTGAAGTCTAATGCTTTCAATAAGTACTACATTTAATTGATTCTGGTCATCCAAGAGGTTAATGATTGAGTTCTTTGATAATTGATCAGGTGGGCACTGTGATAGAGTCGGCAGAAGAGTTCTACTCCGGTAGACTTACTAAGAAGGAGAGAAAAGCAACGCTTGCTGATGAGCTGCTTTCTGATCGTAACCTTGGCACATATAGGTAAGCAAAATTTTCCTACTTTCGAAAACATATATATTGCTTTTTACGTAAATGCTGCTAAGATGAGACTGACATTATATTATGAAGCCATGGTGAATTGTTCCTTGTGTTTTTTATTATTTTTTTTCTCATAATTCAATTTTGCGCAGGAAACGCAAGGTCCGAGAGATCGAAGAAGTGAATCGGCCAGGTGGGGTGGCCAAGTGGAAGAGAAATGGCGGGAAGCGGAGCAAGCATACAATGGCTGGAAAGAAAAAAAGGCACTGATAGCTTAGTTCTCAGTCAGAACCATCCATAAGACATAGGTCCTGAAGATCCGCCACCACTTGCATGGAGATTGGAGTAAATTGCTTCAAGTCAACAATTTTTGACCTTTTTTCAGAATGATTCGCAGTGAGACCTCGGCAAGTGTTTTATATTGTAATATTAACAGTTAACATGAGATTCATATTTGAACAAAAGACAAGCAAACTGAAGTGGGAAAATAACTGAAATTTCTTCTGTTTAAACCACTTACTCGGTTGGATGAATTAAGTTACATGTATGGTTGGGAAAATCATTCCTTTAGTTCACTACTACTTGATTGCACCTCAAAATTGTTGGCTGGAAACAGAAAGGCAAGAATGTATGTTCCACATATGATGAACTTATCATTTCAATGCAAAGATTCACATTCCACAATTGGAAAATATTTCCTTGCCCAGAAAATGTGTGGTATGGCATAAGCTATTTATACAAACAATTAGATTATGATGAACTGCAATACGTTCCACTACTATTGAGATCCAGATTCTTCAAATTCAAGTAATTTGCAACACCAGTGCTCAGGGCAAAGGTTCTTGAGAATCTCCCAACCGAGACAAATGGAGATAAGCATCTGTTCCTGTAAGCATACAGACCAAAGATCCAAAAGTTAATAAGACTGAAGAAATCATACATGCAATTTGCAAAGCATCAGGCTGAAGAATATGAACTAATTAACTTGAACCCATTATTTTGTATTTATGTGAACTTCAGGCATATCAGGAACCAAAAAATCCTGCCTGACCTTACACAAGCATCTCACTGTATGACGCCTAGCTAACTGACAGACTAAGACGATGAAATCTTACACTCAAATGTCCAAATACAAAAATCGTCACTACCATTATAGTGCCAAGTGCAACATGCAGGCTATGTCCCAATTGGCGATCACTTTTACGACCAACAATGCATTGTATGATAATAAGCAGATCATTATACTCATAGTGCGGTGAGCAAATAGAAAGAACTTACCATATCCTTCCATGGAGATAATTTGCAGATCCCCTCCAAAATACTTTGCATATAAACGGCTTATAGGAAGTCCATAACCATAACCAGCCATGGTTGTTACAGTTCCAAGGTCAATGGCTGAGTGCTCGTCTAGGGGGTTCTTTGCAGTACTGTAGAGATATGTAAATATTTTAGGAAGACCACTTCTTGGTATTCCTCCACCTTCATCAGAGACCTACATAAAATGTTGGCAACAATATAGTGAACTTGTAGTGGTTAAACATTCACAAAATACATGCAAATGAAATTAAGGCCCCGTTGGTACCCATTTTTTTCAAAATGCATTTTTCTCTATCTTCTTTTCATCCACACATTCTTTATTAAAATAATATTACACGTAAATCAAAAACTTTTCCTTATTTCTCAACCACACATTTCTCATCAATTTACTATTCAAAATTGCATTTTTATATAAAAATGTCTTCCAAACACCCCCTAACAGATTCTCAATTCAATAGGAGAAAAAATGAGAGGTGAAAAAGAACGTGCCTTAATGGTAACATCCTCCAATCCATCAGCAACTACTATACGGATAGGAGGTGCAACCTTGTCTGAATCCATAAACTTCTCTTGAACAGCACGAAGGGAGTTTTTTACCAGCTCGAAAACCATCAAATGCAAGTGTGCTGGTACATAACTGACATAAAAGCAAAAAGATGAAGCTTCTGGATTTGGCACCATACCACACAAAAAAATTAACATCTCATAGAAAATTATAATAAAATTACAAACATACGGAAACGTGAAGTTAGGATCCCCATAGATATTAACATCTGGTGCACTGCCATACTCTCGTAAACAAATGGAACGGGCATCCTCACTAGCATTTCTTGCAACCTCAACAGGAGACATTTTTGTATGTATATAACCAATACAATCAGGGAGAGGACTGGGATCGCGCAATGCCACGTGCTGCCCTGAGTTGGAAATAAATTTGAAGCAAACAAATTGTTGTTTGGAATAAATTTCTTTCCGCACCAATAAAATAGATGCCGATTAGAAGCTACCAATTAAATAAGCAGGTCAACAAAAAGGTGGGGGGCTAACCAATGAGCATGCGAATCCCAATTCTTGACATATAAAACCGATCAAGAAACTGCTGAATTTCATCCAAATCTTTGTAATTGATTTTCGCATCCAAATCTTTCTTCAACTGTTGGACTCCCAAAGCCATCATAGGGACCACATTGTTGTGCCTGACTTTAATCATCTTAATCATTTGAGTGAATTCCAACTCGTCACTCTTATCCTTAATATCGTGAAAGGATCGAAGGTCACGAAAAGAATCCAAATACCAATCTCTTACCTGGCAAGAAAAGAGGAGGAAAAAGAGACTGCATTGATTAAACATTTGATAATACAATCTTCAACAATGGTTATGCACTTCTATTTCAAACAACAAGAATCTCGAGTCCAACATACTTGCCCGTTATTCATCATTTTTGGAAAATATGTAAGCTTAAAATTATAAAACAAAAGCTAATTTCAAGACCAA